GCTTTAGAAGGAGGAGACGGGCAGGCTAAGGGTTGATCTTCATGGGTGTGGACAAGGAGAAGGAGTGGTCATTGGGTGCAGGCAGTTGGTCTGTAGGAGGCATGGGCTATGGCTGGCAGTAGGAAAGCGGGAGATGCTGGGTGCAGTGGCTCTTGCCTGTAATCCCAGCACTTTGGGAGGTCAAGGCAAGAGGCTTGAGGCTAGGAGGTCGAGGTTGCAGTAAGCATAACCGCACCACTACACTCCAGGCTGGGTGACAGAACAAGATCTTGTCTCAAAAACAAGAAAACAAATGGGGAGAGGAAAGGACCCAAGAGATGCTCCAAAAAAGAATTTCAGGAAACAGTGAAAAGTTGCAAATGGGGCATCAGGAGCAGAGATTAGGTGGCAGGCAGGGGTTGCAGAAATGACAAGCTCTGCCTGGAACAGATGAAATTTGAGTTGCTTGTGGGTCCTTTGAGTGGGCAGAAGCGGGGGCTGGAGACAAGGGTGTGGGAAACCTGTGATGGGAGTTGAGGGTGGAAATCAGCAGCAGGCACCGCCTCCAAGGTAGAGGAAGTCCTATGGGGTGACCAGATGAGGTGAGAGCTGGGTGGGTGGGTGCAGGCTCAGTGGAAGCAGAAACTCTTCTGGACATTGACTTACATGGGAGAAGGGGAATGGTTGGGGGTTGCAGTGGGGTGGCAGGGGTCCCTTTTCTTTGTCACGATTTGCCTTTTTTCCTTCTCTTACCTTGCCGTGAGGGCTCCCCAGGCTCAGGAAGAGATCAGTGTGGAGGAGTGACGGCCCAGTCAGGGAAGGCTCCAGGTGGCTGCTGCAGCCTGGTCTGTGCCTAGCAGGGTCCTGGTGGGCTGTTCTGCATTCCACTGGGCAGGTGATAACTGGCCGGTGTTGCCTCCCCACGGATGCTAGAGGTAGGGTGGGAGGGTCGGTGCTCCTTGATGTGACAGGAGGAGGGGGGTTGATAAAAGGTTTGGCGAGAACCCTAGAGATGCAGTCTGTGTGGCCCTGGGTTCCACTCCAGGGTGCCACCACCTGGCTGTGTGACCTTGAGCAAGTGCCATTATTTCTCCGGGCCTATTTATTTATAAAATGAGGAAGAGTTGGCACAAGTTTGAAAAGATTTCTCAGGCTCCCCCCCACCCCCGCCCCAGTTCTGAAATTCGGTAATTTCCCAACTAGGGTGCTTTCACCCTGTAAGGGGCTGGAGAGGGGAAGGTGCGAAGCCAAGTTCAGCTTGTGGAGCGGAGCCGGAGCAGTTGCCCGAGCTTGGGCCTGGCCAACCCCTACCCTCAGAAGGTCCTGTGCAGGGAGACTGCCAGGAGGGACTAAGTGGCGGCTCTGACGCCTCGGGGGCACCCTCTCAGCCTGAGACCCTGGTGGGGAGGCCGCGTCCTGTGCACCAGCTGCACCTAAGGCTGAGGTGAGGGCGCAGGCTCCCCAGGGTGTGTCCGAGTTGCCCGCCCCAGCCCACGACCTGCCTTGACCGCCCAGCAGCGGCGCGGCGTCACCCTAGGCTCTAGGAAGGGCTTGGGAAGGTGCAAAGGCGGGGCTGGGCTCAGAGGGAGCCGGAGGGACTGGGCGCGGTTGGCTGCCGGGAGCAGCTGGAGGGTGAGGAGATCCTACTCCGGGGAAGCCCAGCGGTCGCGGCTCTACAGCGCCCCTTCATTGGCTCTGCCCTTCCCGCCGGTTATTTTGGACTTGGGGGCCCCCAGCTGGGACCCGGGTCCGGTGTGGGGAGCCTAGTGGGCCTGGGAGCTACTATTTTTAGCGGACTCGGCGGGCGCTAGGAGCCTATTTATAGATCAAACAATCCGCGCTCCCTGCGTCAATGGAACCCCGCGTGCGTCACGCGCGCAGACATTCCAGGCCCCCCTCCTCGCCCCGCCCCCTCGGGCTCCCCGGGCCGCGCCTCCCCCTGGCCGCCTCCCGCCGGAACCGCACCGCCCCCCGCGCCCTTGTATGGCCAAAGCTCGCCGGGCGGCCTGCGTCAGCGGCGCCCCCGCCCCTCCCCGTGCGTCACGGAGCGCTTAAGAGGAGGGTCGGGCTCGCCCGGGGAGTCCCAGTGGCAGAGGCTGCGAAACTTGGGGGAGTGCACGGAAGAACTTTGGGAGCGCACGCGGGACCAGGGACCAGGCTGTGACTTGGGGCGCCGGTCCGGGCAGGGGCAGCAGGAGCCGGCCGGGTAGGTTCCTTTTGGGGGGCGTGCATCTGTTTTTGGGGGTGGTGCATGAAGGAGAGGAGGGTACGCGCGGGCAGAAAGGATGTTGTAGGGTCAGCATGCAGGAGGGCGGGTGTAATGTGCAGCTCTGGCGCAACGGGATGAGAACCCAGGTCCGACTGGAACTACTGGCTGCGGGGTAGGAGGTGAGGGAGGTTGACTACCTGCAAGGTGGAAGCTGCAGGGGGTTGGGGTTGGCGGCAAGAGTAGGGGCTTGTCAAGCCGGCGGCTGGCCTTAGTTCAGTCTCCCAGGGTGCCCAAGTGGGCGCACGGTGCTCTGAACTTGGGTGGATGTGGATGGGGGGGGTCGCAGTACTGTGGGGGAAAAGGTACACGGGGCTTTGGCTCTGCTGGGATCCATACGACTCCAACAGGGATTGGATTTCCAGAAGGCTCTCCTTCCTCCCAGCCTGTCAGCCCTCTCCAGGCGCCCCGGTTGTTTTCTTAACACTTTAGAGGCTGTGGCTGATTTGGCAGGGGTTCCCCACCCTGAGCTTTCTGTTTGAGCTGCATTAGGAAGCCCCTGGATCATTGAAGGAAGTGACTGGCTTGGTGGCTGAGCTGTGGAGGGCTGCTTGCTGTGTGTTCAATAAAGGAGGCTTCTTGGGGTCAGGGGCAGGGTGTCTGGAAGCACTGGGCGCATTGATTTTGCTGGGGCTTGGATCGTGTGTGTGTGTGTGTGTGTGTGTGTGTGTGTGTGTGTGTGTGTGTGAGAGAGAGAGAGAGAGAAAGAGAGAGAGACAGACAGACAGACAGACAGAGATAGAGGTGGAAACCCTTGTCCTTGGGGATCCTGGATAGAAGTTGTCAAAGTTGGAGTCTTGGGGCGGAGCTACCTAGAGGATACCTCCCAACCATTCCAGTTCCAGATGCTGATCACCCCTCTGCCCCCTCCCCCAGTAGTCCCTGTTGGATCTTACAGGTAGGGTGCAGCCTGAGGCTTGTTCAGCAGAACAGGTGCAAGCCACATTGTTGCCAGGACCTGCCTGAAGCCGGATTCTCCCCACTCCCTCCTTCAACCCCGCCTCTTCCTCCTCCTGTGGGACTGCTCCCTCCTCCCAAGAGGCTAGATGTAGGTCCATATCTTGTGTTGTTAAGAACTTGCATGAAGGGGGAGGGATTGATGGGGGTTGATCCGGATATGGGACGTCCAGGTGGAGAAACAGGATTTGAATAAGGCAGGAACGAACGCCCAGTTCTGCCCAACTGCTGTCTTTCCTCCTTCACTCCCAGCCCATCCCTGCCCAGACTGTCTTAGTACAGGCAGATGTGGCCACCCTCACCTCACAGGGTGCTGCATGCCTGTGGATGGGTGCCACTGGGTGGGTGAGGCCTGAGCTACGAGGGTCTCTGTTGTCTTTGTTGGTTATGTGAATGTCAGGCTAGGGGTGGAGATGCCCTGCTCAGGGCCCGTTGAGTTAGAAGAAAGGCTAGGACCAGAGAGGACTTCCTGGGCTCTTGGCCAGGAAGTGGTGACAGCCTTTGCCCCCATCACTGTACTCCTTGATTATGGTACTCACTGTTCCAGCTTGATTTCTTCTCCAGCTTCTCTCCTTGACTGGTGATGCCAGAGTTACGCAGACCCAGGGCATGGAGGTAGGGAGGGAGATTGTCCTGGAGCCTCGTCTGCATTAGTTTTTGACCATTCTGTGAATGTAAGGATCTGTCTGAATGGTGCTATCTCTGTTCAGGCGCTCTTCAGGCTCCTCAGGACCCCCTTTGTCTTAGCCCTTGGATTATTTAGGGCACAGACCCTGCTTTAGTGGAGGGACCCAGGCAGGGGCAGAATGTCTTCCACCCACCCACCAACAGGCTTCTCCTTCCTGCATAGCCTCCTTAAGTCTTCTGCTGCTGCTGGACTCTGAGAATTCTTTTATTAAAATAACTGGGAGTAGCAGAACATTCTTTTTAGGTACTGTCGTCTATTCTCCTGGAAGTCCAGGGGGCTGTGGTCTCCTTCCTCCCCCTTACCCTGTTCCCAGCAAATGGCCCTTAAAGGTCTGGAGCCAGGTTACTGATGAGGAGGCCTAGGCTCCCTTTCTCTTTGCTTCTGGGAGCATCTTGGGCAGTGCAGAGTGGCTTCCCAGCCCCAGATGGCAGGACTGGGGTGGGTTTGGGATTTGCTGCCTTTGCTCAATATGGGGGTTTGGGGTGGAGGTGGGGGACAGGCTAGGGCCTCTGCATTAGGCTGCCTTCTCAGGTAGCTGGGCTTTCCACTCCCAGCTCCTCTCCCATTTCCACAATGTTCTTCTTCCTAGGCACCATGAGGGGAAGAGAAAAAGACTAGGGTGTGCCTGGGAGTATTCCCAGGAAGTGCCTGGTTGGTGAAACAAGCAGGGAGCTGCTCCTGAGAGCTGGGCTGAGGCTTTCCTGGGCTGTCTCTCCCACTCACCCTTCTCCCCGTCCCCACCATGCCTCCCCCAGTGGGGGAGGGGCAGGGGGCTGGAGGAACACAGCTTCCCCCTGTTCCAGCAGAGAAATGCTGGCTAGATGCCTACCCAAGGGTTCCGAGGCTGACTAGGGTGTGGCTGGCCTTCTGATGGAGCCCACTTATGCTGGCCGCTGCCCAGGGACATTGTGGCACATAAGTCAAGATGGTACTCAGGCCAAGGGTCAGGATTCCTGGGTGCTGTGGTGGGCTGTGGTCCTGCCGGCTCTGTCCCATCTGTAGGCTAGGATTCTTGCCACCTTGCTGCTCTGGGGCCCAAATACTTTGAGACCAGGCTGTAGGCTTCTCCCACTGACTCTCCTTGCTCTCCTTGGGGTTCTCCCTCTCCAGAGATGCCCTGTATCCAAGCCCAATATGGAACACCAGCACCGAGTCCAGGACCCCGTGACCACCTGGCAAGTGACCCCGTGACCCCTGAGTTCATCAAGCCCACCATGGACCTTGCCAGCCCTGAGGCGGCTCCCACTGCCCCCACTGCCCTGCCCAGCTTCAGCACCTTCATGGACGGCTACACAGGAGAGTTTGACACCTTCCTCTACCAGCTGCCGGGAACAGTCCAGCCATGCTCCTCAGCCTCTTCCTCGGCCTCCTCCACATCCTCGTCCTCAGCCACCTCCCCTGCCTCTGCCTCCTTCAAGTTCGAGGACTTCCAGGTGTACGGCTGCTACCCTGGCCCCCTGAGCGGCCCAGTGGATGAGGCCCTGTCCTCCAGCGGCTCTGACTACTATGGTAGCCCCTGCTCAGCCCCGTCACCATCCACGCCCAGCTTCCAGCCGCCCCAGCTCTCTCCCTGGGATGGCTCATTCGGCCACTTCTCACCCAGCCAGACTTACGAAGGCTTGCGGGCATGGACAGAGCAGCTGCCCAAAGCCTCTGGGCCCCCACAGCCTCCAGCCTTCTTTTCCTTCAGCCCTCCCACCGGTCCCAGCCCCAGCCTGGCCCAGAGCCCCCTGAAGTTGTTCCCTTCACAGGCTGCCCACCATCTGGGGGAGGGAGAGAGCTATTCTGTGCCGACGGCCTTCCCATGCTTGGCACCCACTTCCCCACACCTTGAGAGCTCGGGGATACTGGATGCACCCATGACTTCAGCCAAAGCCCGGAGCGGGGCCCCAGGTGGAAGTGAAGGCCGCTGTGCTGTGTGTGGGGACAACGCCTCGTGCCAGCATTATGGTGTCCGCACCTGCGAGGGCTGCAAGGGCTTCTTCAAGGTACTGCGCGGCCCTGGGCAGGGCTTTTTACAGGAAATGGAGAGAGGCTAGCCTCTCATCCCATTGGGACCTGTGGTAGACCCCTGGGTTCTCCTCCCAGCCAAGTCCTGTCCTGTAGCATGGGCTCAGGCCTGCCAGGTGGGCTGCCTTCCTGGAGACCCATAATGCCAGGGCTGGAAGCTTTCATTCACCAGGACACTCGGGCCCATGGGGTTGCAGAGAGCTGGAGTGAGCTGTGAGATATGGGCTGGAGGGGTGCCTGGCCAGCCTCTGGTTTTCCTCTGCCTGTCCTCCCCTAACTCAAGGTTCTAGTGGGAAGGGGTGCCCCCAGGCTCTCGTGTTCCTGGCGTGAGATGAAAGGATCCCGGCAGAGGGTTTGGTTCTTGAGGGCTGGGGGTGGACTTGGGAACAGGCTGTGTGTTTGTCCCAGCGCTGGTGCCTGCTTAGCTTCCCGTCCCCACCCCCAGCCCCTTGGCCCTCTCCTGTCTGCCCCAGGGAGAGGGCAGGTGGACAAGCGCCCATGAAAAAATATAGCTGTTTGGATTGCTGGAGAGACTCTGGCCCCCAATATTGTGTCTTGGGATCTTCCTCTGGGGAGAAACCTCCTCTAGTGTCTTCAAGACTTTTCTCTCCCCTCAACCCCCTATCTCTCCCTCCCTTGCCACCCAAATGTTAGAAAAATAGCTGTGAACAGAGAGTGCTTTTGTCTGCAATGGCAGCAGGATCTGGACAGTCCCCTCCCCTCGGCTCCCCCCTCCCCACCCCACACTCTGACAGCGTGTTCCGTGTTGCCCCCCCACCCAGCGCACAGTGCAGAAAAACGCCAAGTACATCTGCCTGGCCAACAAGGACTGCCCTGTGGACAAGAGGCGGCGAAACCGCTGCCAGTTCTGCCGCTTCCAGAAGTGCCTGGCTGTGGGCATGGTGAAGGAAGGTGTGTGGCTGGGGTTTGGCCCAGCAGGGTGAGGATAGGCTTGAGTGGGGTGGGACCGCAGGGCCCTCAGCTTCTGCCCTGGATGACCCAGGGGAGGACACATTTTATTTCCATCCCTGCTCTGAACCCCAGGCCTTAGAGGGTGGCAGCTTCTACCTGCCTGGATCTTCAGGGTGGTGGCTGGGAGGGGGTCCCTGTAGGGTCCCTCAGATCTCAGGGGCTCTGGGTCCTAGGGACTCGGTGGGCTGCATCTCCGCAGTGGTATGCACGGCTTGGGATGAGAGGCCCTTCCTTAGATCCCTTCCTTATTCACCCTTACGCATTCCTTTGCAGTTGTCCGAACAGACAGCCTGAAGGGGCGGAGGGGCCGGCTACCTTCAAAACCCAAGCAGCCCCCGGATGCTTCCCCTGCCAATCTCCTCACCTCCCTGGTCCGTGCACACCTGGACTCAGGGCCCAGCACTGCCAAACTGGACTACTCCAAGGTGAGGCCCCGCCTGCCCCATCCCTCGCCTGCCTTGAGGAGAGCTGGTGTGAGCACGTGCGATGCCGATGTGCATGTTAGAGCTACCCCTCTGGAAGGATTGAATGAGAAAGGAAGTTTAAAAAGGAAAGAAAGAAAAGCTACCCCCTCCAGTTCAACAGCTCAAAGAGAGGAGCCCCCTCTGGGATGACCAGGTGGGAAAATGCACCCCCTCAGGCAGGTGGCCAATTAGAAAAATGTGTCCTTCTGGCAGCTGCAGCTCTGGGTTAATATGTGAGACTTGGCAAGCGAGAGCCTGGGGTGGGTCTCAGGGCCACTACCACTCCTGGGATCTGGCATCCAAGTGTCTGACACAGCCATATGTGGCGGTGGGTGCAGGGCCCTGCCTGGGGTGCTGACTGGACCATCCTCCTAGTTCCAGGAGCTGGTGCTGCCCCACTTTGGGAAGGAAGACGCAGGGGATGTGCAGCAGTTCTACGACCTGCTTTCCGGTTCCCTGGAGGTCATCCGCAAGTGGGCAGAGAAGATCCCTGGCTTTGCGGAGCTGTCACCGGCTGACCAGGACCTGTTGCTGGAGTCGGCCTTCCTGGAGCTCTTCATCCTCCGCCTGGCATACCGGTGAGCTGCCCACTGACTGCCCAGCCCCTTTCCCTCATACACCTGCCTGTGAGCCACCCTGATTGCTTTTCAACCCATCTGCCTCCCAGGTCTAAGCCAGGTGAGGGCAAGCTCATCTTCTGCTCAGGCCTGGTGCTGCACCGGCTGCAGTGTGCCCGTGGCTTCGGCGACTGGATTGATAGCATCCTGGCCTTCTCAAGGTCCCTGCACAGCTTGGTTGTCGATGTCCCTGCCTTCGCCTGCCTGTCTGCTCTTGTCCTCATCACTGGTGAGTGTCCAGCACCACACCAGGTCCAAGGGAGTGGGTGTCAGGGAGTTGACTGGTCCTCAGGTGGGCACTGTCTCAGGGAGTTTGGTGGTCTGGGATCTAGCATTTTCTGGCCCCTGCACTGCCCTGGGCTCATACTGACAGTAAAGTAGGGACCACAGGAGCTGGAGACAGGCTCAGCTGCTTCCAGCTCTAAAGCTTAAGACAGCCATTAGCCCCAGACTGCCTGGGATATACACGGCAGGTGTCATGTATGTGGCCTAGGGTGTTGGTTTGTTTTTAAAACCTTCCTGTCGATTACGCTGCATATAGAAAAGTACACGGATGGTAAGTTTTCATAAACCGCACTTACCTAACCAGCACCCTGGTCAAGAAAGAGCACCTAACTGCCCTCCAGAACCCATTATTGTGCCCCCTTCTAGTCATTTGCCCTCCCCAAGGGTAACCACTACTCTGGTTTCTATTTTTTATTTAAAAAAATAAAAAAATATATAAGATGAGATCTCACTATGTTGTCCAGGCTGGTCTCGAACTCCTGGGCTCAAGAGGTCCTCCTGCCTCAGCCTCCTAAAGTGCTGGGATTACAGGCGTGAGCCACTGCGCCCGGCCCTTCATCATGACTTCTGACAGTGCAGATCAGATTGGCTGTGCCTGTTTTGGACTTTATGTAAATGTAGTTCTGCAGGATGGAATCTGAATGCAGAGGTTTTCAGGTCTTTGTTTTTTTTTTCTGAGACAGAGTCTCACTCTGTTGCCAGTCAGGAGTGCAGTGGCGTGATCGTGGATCACTATGACCTCCGCCTCCTGGGTTCAAGCAATTCTCCTGCCTCAGCCTCCTAAGTAGCTGGGACTACAGCTGGGCACCACCATGCCCTGCTAATTTTTGTATTTTTAGTAGAGACGGGGTTTCACCGTGTTGACCAGGATGGTCTCAGTCTCTTAACCTCATGATCTACCCACCTCGGCTTCCCAAAGTGCTGGGATTACAGGCGTGAGCCACTGTGCCCGGCCACCTCTCTTTGTTTTTTAAAGCAAAGAATCCACCCTCATTCCTTTTTTTCACTTAAAATGCACAGGGGACTCAACTATATAGAACACAATCAGAGGTACTCTGGGCTGAGGGAGTGCTGAATTCTGAGGCTGGGCCTTCTCAGAACAGTCTAGATTTTAAAAACCTAATGGTCTAGCCAGAAAACCTAGGTTAGGATTTATTTCCTGTTTGAGACCTTGGGCAAGTCATTAACCTCCTGGGCCTCAGGTTCTCACTTGGAGCATGAGAATCATGAGGGTTACTGGTTCTCAGACTTCTGATGATGCTTACAAATGCCAACCTGTGAACGTGCTTTTGTGAAGTGCCAGCAGAGCATGAGGGTTGGCCCGGAGCAGCAGTTTTAGGGGCCTAGGGGAGGCTGGGCTTTGGGGCCTGGTTCTCAGATGTGGGGCTAATTCTGTACCCTCCCCGCAGACCGGCATGGGCTGCAGGAGCCACGGCGGGTGGAGGAGCTGCAGAACCGCATCGCCAGCTGCCTGAAGGAGCACGTGGCGGCTGTGGCAGGTGAACCCCAGCCAGCCAGCTGCCTGTCACGTCTGCTGGGCAAACTGCCCGAGCTGCGGACCCTGTGCACCCAGGGCCTGCAGCGCATCTTCTACCTCAAGCTGGAGGACTTGGTGCCCCCTCCGCCTATCATCGACAAGATCTTCATGGACACGCTGCCCTTCTGACCCCCGTCTGGGAACACACGTGCACATGTGCACTCTCATATGCCACCCACGTGCCTTTAGTCCACGGACCCCCAGAGCACCCCCAAGCCTGGGCTTGAGCCGCAGAGTGAATCCCCCTTATCACCTGCTCCAGGAGGTTTGCAGGGAGCTCAAGCCCTCGGGGAGGGGGATGCATTCATGGGGGTGACCCCACGATTTGTCTTACCCTGCAGCCTGGCCCTGGCCTTTATGTTTTTTGTAAGATAAACCGTTTTTAACACATACCGCCATGCTGTAAATAAACCCAGTGCTGCTGTAAATACAGGAAGAAAGAGCTTGAGGTGGAAGTGGGGTGAGGAGGTAGGGACGGGCCCCACCGGCCTGGGCAGCCTTTCCAGCCTCCTGCTGGCTCCGTCCTCCTACCCTCCTTCCACATGTACATAAACTGTCACTCTAGAAAGAAGACAAATGACAGATTCTGACATTTATATTTGTGTATTTTCCTGGATTTATAGTATGTGACTTTTCTGATTAATATATTTAATATATTGAATAAAAAATAGACATGTAGCTGGAACTGGGATTCAGTTTGTCTCTGATGCCCCTTTCCCCTCTCCCACCAAGCACACCCCGTCATTACATAAGAGGTGGGTTGCTCGAGACGAAACTTGGATGTTACCAGCCTGAGCTATCAGGCCTCAGTGTACTCATTTGTAAAAGGTGGATAATAATGACACCTGCTTCGTGAGGTTGTTAGGCAAAGCGCTTAGACTAATTTCTAGCACGTGGGACGCCTCCACTAGACGTGCCTGGCTCATTGCTGGGGCCTGCAGTGACTGACTAGCCCAGGGATGACTGTAGGGCCCTATAGCCTTGGCTGTAGATCTCAGGGTTGTCACAGTTCCTAACCTAGACACATTATTCTCTGATTCTTGATTTCCACATCCATAAAACAGGAATAGACCCAGCCTCACACAGCTTTCAGGATCAGAGGATTGTGTGCATAAAGCTTAGCTTGGGCTGGGTTGAAGTAAGCCCAAATTGGTAATAAGTAGCTGTTGTATTCATTTTTTTTTTTTTTTTTTTTTGAGACAGAGTTTCGTACTTGTTCCCCAGGCTGGAGGGCAGTGGCACGATCTTGGCTCACTGCAACCTCTGCCTCCCGGGTTCAAGTGATTCTGCCTCAGCCTCCTGAGTAGCTGGGATTACAGGCATGTAGCACCATGCTCAGCTAATTTTGTATTTTTAGTAGAGACGGGGTTTCTCCATGTTGGTCAGGCTGGTCTCAAACTCCCGACCTCAAGTGATCCGCCCACCTCAGCCTCCCAAAGTGCTGGGATTACAGGTGTGAGCCACCGCGCCCAGCCTTGTATTCAGTTTTTTAACATCCCCATCCTCCTGCCACCCCAGCAAGAGGATCCAGGGAGCTGGTGGCCCTCACCTTCTTGGCAAGAAGATTGTACTGAGGTCCCTACCTGTTCCGTGTCCCCATGTAGGCCCTCCAACCCCAGGCTCATCAGTTTAGTCAGCTGGGTTGAAATGCAGATTCCTGGGATCTACCCCTAGAGACTCAGGTTTGGGGAGGCAAGGGGGCCCATGAACTTACACTTTTAGCAAGTACCCCAGGGCTTGTGATACAGGTGGTCTGGGGCCACTGTTTTGAGAAACACAAACCCAGATGGACCTGACCTGAGGCCCACAGGAGTTTGTCACCATGCAGGGCCTGGCCCCTTCCTGTGCTCAGTGCTTGCCCTGCCTCACTGTTTCCTTCTCTAGGACCTGGTGAGAGCCCTGAAGGCAGTGCCCTCACAGCTGTTCCTCATGGCCCTTGGCCCAGGACTCCTGATCTCCACCTCCATGGCCCCTGGGAACTGGCTGGCTGAGGGGTCGGCCCCTACTGGATGGGGCCCAATAGAATAGGGCTCGGCTGTGGATGAGGGGAAGCAAGGGCTTTCCCCGGTGCTCCAGGCCACAGCTTGCAAGGAGCTCCCATCCACTTGCCCTCACTTGGGTTCTGGGAGCACAGCCCAGCCTCAGGCCTGCTGAAGGGTCCGTGTGAGGCTGGAGTAGGGAGACAGACGAGGTCCCCGACCCTGGGACTGATGCTCCCAGCAGTGCTGTGGACTTCCAAGCCTGTATCCCTGGCATCACACCCCTCCCCCGCGCCTGACTCCTGAGTGAGCCTTCGTCAGCTGTACCTGCACCTGACGACACAGGGAGGTCAGTAGGTGGGCTTCTGTTTGCAGCCCTGCCTCCATGCTACTCTCTGAGAAGCCCCTCCTCCTCACCGAGCCTCAGTTTCCCATCTGTTGAATGGGGAGGTGAGACTGGTTAGGAGCAAAGCTTGCTGGGAAATCTGCTGGCCAGCTGGACTGAGTCCTTCTCCTTTGGATGACTCACCTCCAGCTCCCTGCCTGTAGCACAGACAGACATAGGGAAAGGACAGGCTGCTGGGGAAGGCAAGAGGGCTGCTCAGGGGCTCACAGAGCGGCCAGGGCTGGGACTGGGGTGGGGCCAATGGATCATCTCCGTATTTACGGACGAGGCTAGCAGGTAGATAGCAGAGTCCGCCCAGGCAGACTATTTTCATCTGACACTTGTGATTTCCAGCCCTCACTGCCATCCCACGAGGACAGCCTGGCTATCTGCACCTCACAGGGGCACCATGGGAGAATGGTGAAAGCAAGGACCCTGGAGCCCTCGGGCTGGGTTTACGTCTTGGCTCCAGCTCTTACTAGCTCAGTGATTTGGGGTAGTTAGTTCACCTTGCTGTGTCTCAGTGTTTTCACCTAGAAATGAGAAAATGAATCTATTTTATGAAGTTGCTATAAAGATTATAGAAGCGAATACATACAAAGTGTTTCTTACAGTGCCTGGCACACAGCAAGCATCCGATAAATATTAGCTATTGTTTTAACAAAGGAGGAGAATTCATTTCAGAGAGAGGATACGACTTTCCCAAGGTCACCTGGCTTGTGAGTAGCTAGCCGGGTGCTTCTGGCTACTTCACTGCTAGGTCTCCCTGCCCAGGGCCTCAAAAATAAGAAGCTCCATTGATGGTGGTTCCTTTTCTGGACCCTGGCAATTAGGGTATGGGCTGAGGGGGCTGGTTCCTCCAGCCCCACCCTGCCCCACCCTGCCCCGCCCAAGGGTTGGAGCCCAGAGGCAGGCCCTTTCTTTCCACTCAGCAACTGGAAGAACTGGCCTCCAAGTCTTGCTAGAGGATAGGAGGGCAAACAAGGGGGCATTGAGCCTGATGGGGCCTCACAATGGCTGCTCTGTCCAGGCTGGCCGGGGGCTGGGCCCATTTCCGACGGGGACAATAGTCAAAAGGCAGTGACGCCGGCAGGGCCTGGAATCCCAGGCGGGATTTTCCAAGGCCTCAAAGTCTGCTGTTTGTCCTTACTCGGAGACCCAGGAAGCCTGCCTCTCTGTCTCCCCCACCCCACCCACGCTGGGCCCAGCGCCCAGAGGCCCTGGCCCCCTCCCCAGCCCTGAGGTGCCACTGTGACTCGGGAGGGGTGGCTTTGAGGTCTGGGGACTGAGGGGGAGCTCTGTGCCCTGGGGGTCTGTGCCTGTAGCCCTTCCCGGGGCCAGTGTGGAGGAAGCTGCCCCACACCTGGGCTCCAGCCACCTGGTCTCAATTATGGGGGGGGGTAAGGGTCAGCCTCCAGGAGGAGAGAAGCTCTTGAAGGTCATGGTTGACTGTGATATAATGGGGTGTCCTGTCCACACGGCCTGCTCCGAGCACCCAGCATGCTCAGCTGTGTGGTGGTGGTTCTGCTTCTGCAGAGAGCAGCATGAGAGACACTTGTTAGAGGCTGCTGTGTGGTCCCTGGACAGTCAGCAGTGACATCTTCTTGCAGCTATGAGGCAGTTGTGCCAGACATGTCAGAGTCGGGCCCTGTTGAGGAAGTGCTAGGGGACCTTGTGTGAACTGGGCCTGGAATCCTAAGAGAGCTGTAGCTCGGACATCTGGACGAGTCCCAGCCCCTCTCCCAAAGTCCCTGGCTGCAGGAGAGCCCCAGGGCCACTGGGCCTCCTCAGAGGATGAGGTTGAAGGGTTGAGCCTCTGTCCATCTGGCATCCAGCCCTGCCAGGGCCTAGCCTTGTAGCCTCATAGCTCCGGGGACAGCTGCTCTGTCTTCCCTGGGGAAGCCAGTGCTCAGATCCAGGCTGCAGTCTCTGCCCCAAACCTCTGCCTCCATCCTTGCTCCAGCCTCAGGCTCTCAGGCCTCTTCCTGGGCCCCAGGCTGGGAACTGTTGGGTTTGACCTGGGCTGGCCAGTGGGAGTTTGAAACCTCCAGCCTCTGATGGTGAGTCCAGGAAGAAGTCAGTGCAAAGTAGAGGAAAAGCCCTTTTCAGTTCCCAGTATCTCCTTCCCCACACAAGCCAGAGACCTTCTCAGGGCAGGAAGCACATTTCCAGGTCCCCAGCTGGACTTGGAGCCTGCGGGAAGCCTATGGGCCCCTGGAGGCCTTGGCCTTGGCATCCACATCCTGCCTGCCACTCCTGGGCCCCTGCTCTGTTCATCCTCCCCAGCACCCTGGCTCCCCGTCGCCTCCTCCTGGGCCCCGACCCTGCCAGGCCAGGGGTGCCACTTGAGGTCTCCTCAAGGTCTGACCCAGGCGCTGGCACTGTCCAGCCCCAACTCAGGACCATAAATCAGGTCTGGCATGGCCGCAGGGGCTGGGGGTGGCAGCTGGGACAGGAGGGGAGTGCGGGGGGGCCTGTCTGGGTACATGCTGCGTTAGCAGGGAGCAGTGCCCAGCTGCAAGCCAGGCGGGCAGGGTGCTGACTGTCGCTATGCTCCTAGCCCGGAGAACATCAGTGGGAAGAGGCCTCCAACCAGGAAACCCAGCCTTGGCATAGCCATGCAGGAAACCTGGACTCCACCCCAGGGCCCCAGGTAGCTGGGATACCATGAGGATAGATAGAGAGATGCCCCCTGCCCCACAAGAAACCAGAGACAGAAAAACAGCTCCTAGAGGCATAGACAGAGACTCCCTTATCAGGGGTGGATAAACAGCCCCCCAACCTTTTGCAAGCACAGTAGTCCAGAACCCCCTTCCTTAAAGAATGACAGATACTCGGAACAGCCCTCAAAGGAACAGAGCTTGCAGCAAGGAGAGACAGTCCCGCACCCCCGAGGGACCGGTGCACAGAAATAAAGCCTGGCCCCTACCCCAACTTGGCCAGAAAAAGACAGACCTTTCTGGAAATAAAAAGCCACACAACCCTGCCCCAACATGGACAGATCCCTGGGTCCTCAGGAGAACGAACAGTACACAGGCTGCTCCTGGCCTGCTCCTGGTCTCCAGGCTGCCTGGTGAGGTTGGCAGGTTGGGGCTGGAGGCGCCCCTTTCTCACGCTCTCTGCTACTCTTTCATCTGCCCAGCCATTTTCCCTGTCAGGGAGGGTGGGGGCTGGAAGTGACATCTCAGAAAGGGTGGGAGGTCGAAGAGCCCCTGCCCGAGATCCCAGGGGGCAGATGTCAGAGGGGGACAGCTCATCCTCCTCACCCCTGCAGCCTGCCCAGACAGGAGGGTCAGCAGGCAGGGTGCTGACTTTCCAGCC